GCCTGGGGGGGGCTCTCCGGCGGGGAGGCGGAGGCTTTGTCTAACTCCGCCACTGCCACCGCGGGCCAGGCCGTGGCTTGGCAACCCGTGCGCAGGAGGCAGGGCTGGAGGGCATGAGGGATGATGACAAGGAAGCCCGAGGAGCGGCCGTGGAGAGTCCATCTTGGATGCAAATGGCAGGGGGAGATGGGGCGCTGGGAAGGGGTCCACGCGCAGGGGGCGGCCCCCACCGGCACCCCAGAGAGCCGGGGACCTCGGCACCCCTCCTGGATCTCGCCAGAGAAGAAGAAGACCCGCGCCCAGGCGCTGGGCAGCCCAGACCGGCTTCAGGGCTCCTGAGCGGGTGCCTGTCACTCATGCCCCAGATCCCAAAGGTCCCAGGGCAGGGTCCAGCGCAACTACCCCGGGGCAGGCCCGCGATTTCCCGCCTGGCGGCGAGGCTGGCGCAGGACTCTCACTCCCCCTCCCCACCCCAGGATGACAGACGAGGGAGGGAGGGAGGGAGGGAGGGAGCCTACCTGGACACAAAGCCTGTCTCTCTGAGCTTTGCAGACCCCAGAGCAGGTGAGAACATTTGAGAAAATAGTCCTGTTTGCTCTTGGGGCTCAGAACCCACATTCAACTACCACCCCGCCCCAATCCATACCCTGAATCTTAACCCTTTTTAATCCCCAAGTCTGCATCCAAAAAGTTAAATGCCTGTGCATTCACCTGTGTGTATATGACTGCACGCTGCTTTTTTGGGTCCCTCTGCAGATGAGTGGATTAAGGAGTCACCATTTGGAGACAAGGCCGAACCTGGCCGACTGCCAGCGCCAGCGTGGCATTTCTGACCGGGAGGCCAATCCCCTCCCCGGCCTCTGCCCCCTCCCCCCCTCCCACCCCAAGGCGCCTAGCTTTTGGGGAAGTCTGTGTCCAACCAAGTGTCTAAAGCAGAAGGACGGGGGAGGGGACAAAGCCGGCCCCTCCAAACTCCACCAGGTCACAGCCCCTCCCGTCTCCTCCGGCCCCTGGGGCGAGGCCCGGGGCGCAGCCTCCAGCGGCCTGACAACTTGTGGAGGAGTTTC